AACTTTTTTATATAAAATGACGTGTCATTTAAATAATTGATTTTTTTAATTCATATTAAACCCACGATATTAAATGCATCCACTCATTTAATGACATGTGAAAGTTGTATAAAAAAAATGAGATAAAAATATTGTTCCTAACACACCCAAAAAAAAAAAGAGAAGCATAACTATGATAAGGGGCAAGGGCCCACTTTTATGGATTTTTTTTATCCTATACCTTAAATCCTTTTAGATAAAAAAAATAAAAATTATTGTATCTAAATAGATACTCTAAATTCCTTCAAAATAAATGGCTAATTATTTTTTGTTTAACCCTAAAAGTTTACAATTTCAAAGGGCATGCTAGAAATCAAATGACAGGGGTTAGGCAAACAAACTCTTCACCTATCGTATCTTTGGATTTTAACCTACTTTGATAATTAGTACTACTTTTTAATTTAATAGTCAAAACAATGTAATTGCTTGCTTAATGAACTGAATTACCTGCTTGATAAGACACAAATGCTTCTAAGCCAAGTTGGTCATCATTTGACAATGTCTCTAAGTAATTAAATTTTAGGTTTTTGTCAACTTTGTACTTGATTAAATAATCTTCTTCCATAATGCTTTCAAAATAATGAAAATGATATAACATAAAACATAGGAATAACCATAACTTAGGTTCTCAACTAATTTTGTTTTTTCAACCCACCTTTAAACCCCATCTTTGAGCAGGTCTCATCCAATCAACTCCCTTTCACTACGTGGAAGTTAGTACAATAGCACTGAGTTAAAAAAAGGGGAAAAATTCATCATTAATTCCATAGAGCAAAAAAAGGGAAAAAAATTCATCATTAATTCCATAGGGCAAAAAAAGGGAAAAAAATTCATCATTAATTCCATAGAGCCCATATAAATCAACTTTTCACAAGCTTTAATCTAAGTTTAAAAAGTTGTTTAAGTAAGACTGTGATAAAAGAGATAATCGCCACATGAGAGTGTGTTTTTATTCTCTTTTTTTTTTTTTTTAATTTTTTTTTTTTTTATTAAATTTAAATATTAAAAATTGTTAAAAATTAATAAAATAATTTATATTTATTATTTAATATATTAAAATTAATTTTTAAATTAATATTTTTAAATATCATAACTAATTATTTAAAAATTTTATATAATAAAATATCAATAAAATTAAACAATTTTTAATCATTTTAACAAAATAATAAGTGGGTATAACTACATCCATTATATAATGTTTTTTATTGTATTCGGGGTTATTTGGACGGATCATATGATACAAGACACTTAATTAGCCTAAAAGATATGATGAGAGTTTTTTGTTTTTGTTTTTTTTTTTTTTAAATTTGGTCTTAATTGGTCCGATCATATAGGACAAGAAGCTTAATTTTTTTTGAACAATATTGCCATAAAACGGATTTGAATCAACTCAAAAACCAAAAAAATACACCTCAAAGTGACTGAAAGCCACTTGATCCGAAGGACCTCACATGAACAAAAAGCTTAATTAGCGTTTAAAAGGTATGAGGGCTGAATTGAGAGATAAAACAAGTTTAGGGGATACTGTAGAGCTATTTCAGTATTTCCTAACTGTAAAATATTACTAGTAGGGGAATAAAATTACGTGTGTCTTTTGTCATTCTGACCAAATAAAGAAAATGACTTTTTATGTTTTGGCAAACAAGAAAATGACTCTTGTTGAAAAAAAAACACAGAATTTTTAGGATGACCAGTTGTCACGTGAACAACGTGAGGTGAGACAGCAGTAAAACGCCCAC